TGACTGTAAGGAAACAGGTTTTTTAATGAACAGGTATTAATTTTATTTATATGCCGTTTTTTCTCCCAAAGACATGAATTTCAGTGAAGAAAAGATTACTTTTTTATTTTTTTATATTATTAGAAACTAATGTCAAATCTTATTTTAAATCTTTTTATAAATGTGTGGATGTAGTCTTATATCTTGAACTATTTTGAGATACAGTTGTGGTTTACTATACTGAAATTGTATTAGCTATTACAAAAAGTGTTGAAGTTCAAAGTTATGTGGATCAGATGATCAAGACACACAGTAGTGTCATGCCAAAAATAAACTAAACCACACGACACCTAGTATGTTATTAACAGGAATGAAAACTTTAGGTTTTCAACCATCCATATGGGAAAGCTCTGTTAAGCAAAACTCACATCTTTTGTATAGTAGGTCTCCCACATCTCCTTACCTTACATGCCAAATTCCAAAGAAATCTTTTAATCCCTTATCATTTTACATCAGAACAAACTCTTCATTTTCTTCTTTACACCAGTGAAAAGAAAACAAAAACTTCCTGTTTTCAAATTTGGTAAATAGCTGGCACATATGTTCCTCTAGCTTTACAGCAAATTTGGTTATAGTAGCTCAAGTATTCTCATAGGTATCAGGAAAATAAGCAAACATTACACTAAAATATTGTAAATTTTTGCATTCACCTGGAGAAAAATGGACTAACTCAATCACACTGAAATTTCTACCACACATTAGAGTATTCTTAAAAGTAAACCTTTTTAATTTTACAAAAATTGGATGCAAAATTCAGAAGTTATGAGCCTAAAATCAACATTGTGTAAATATTTTCATACAATTTTTGCATACTACCTTGCAACACAGTTCAAACTAATAAAAATGCTCCCCAGTATGTGATTGTCTTCATTTCTGGCATATGGCTAACATATTTTATAATATCACTTTATCTACTATATAAACTATACAAGAAACATGATACCTATTGAAAAACAACTTGTCTGAAAAACATGTGGACAAAAATAAAGCAACTGAAAGATATGAACTCAAAGTTATCGAAGTATTGAAGAAACCCACATGCAATTATAATGTCTCCAAATTTAATAGGTACTTGATGCTAATTATTCCAAACTATATCCTTTGTGGTTATTTTTTATTTTTACCTAATGTACAATAAGAAAGGATGATATCTATATCTATATATATATATATATATATATAAATTGCATAAGAAAGATGTGAAACCAAAGTTTGTGGCCAGTATGAAAAAATATTGATGATTAAAATTTTATGCAGACTATTGTGATTAAGCATTCAAAATTTTATAAAATTTGCAGAGTAAGCATATCTACTACAAGAAATCACATGGTCCACTGTTTTTTGTCAGTGCATAGATAAACATAAAACAGCAACCCAAGTGATTTCTTGTAGTAGATATGCATACATCTTCCTAATGCGACTCTTTTTTTTTGGCTGTACCCTTTTTTTTACAGCCATGCTGGCTCTGATTATATAAATGAGACAAGAGTTAAAAAATAAAAACTGAATGCTCATACTCGAATATTCCTGAAATATGTTTGCATTGGATAGTCATCCAAAGCTACACAAGGGCTATCTGCACTGGCCATCCCTAATTTTGAACTGAGAGGCTAGAGGGAAGGCAGCTAGTCAATAGCACCCACTGCCATTTCTTAGGATGTTTTAATGGAATATTGGGTTTTGACTATTTTCATATCACACCCACAGCCCCAAAGTGCAAAATACAGTGCATTTTTACAGCATCCGGTCCGCAAAAAGTGGACCTCAGGTTCACTGTCCACATACTAACCACTAGTTCATGTCCAAGCTTGTACTTGAAAAATTAGAAATATTTTTTTTTAGATAAGAATATTTCATACATAAAAATTATACTTATACTTACACCTTCATCAGAAAAAAAAAATTCTTTGTCATGAACTTTTTATTAACCCTGCATTAGTCTTCCGAGCAGACCTCATCCTAAAAATATTTAAATAATAATAAACTATTATTATTTTGGAAACAAAAAACACTAGCACTCAAAATTTTTTCCTTTACTAATCAAAAAGTGAACATTAAATATTACAATTTGTTTTTTTTTACCACCTAAACTAAGTGTAACAAATTAACACAAACTAGCCAAATACTGAAGCTACTGAGAACAACACACATGAACGTTCTTCCATCTGTCGGCACCAATATTTACAAAATACTTGGGGTCTGTGAAGACTCCAGAAGACTAATTCAGGGTTAAAACTCTGGAACCACAACATAATCTGCATTGTGAAAAATACAAGCAAGATTGTTTACGAGAAATAATCCAACAAAACTTAAAAATTATATAGTTGAAAACAAAATAATAATAAAAAAGAATTAGTCAAATAAGTGTGGCTGAATAATGTTGAACACTCATGAGTCATGGAAGATCCCATATACTTTCCTGAAATGGACTAAAATATTATAAACTAATATATATTTTCACCTACTTTTAGTGAAAATAAAGCTCAAGTTATATCTGAATTATGTAACATAAACTATAAGAAATACGACAGTATAAACATCTGATTTCGAGGTAACAGAATAGTATGAATCATTAAATTATTTAGAGGATACATAAAAGTTTTGTGTTTTTGGAAAATAAACTTATCTTTTTTGGTCATTTGAATCAAGGTAGATTACTTTCAATGTTTGAGTGCATTTGAGCAGTTTTGGGGAATTTTATAATTTAAAAACAAAACGTAATTGAACTGATGCTAATAGTTGAGAATAAGATTCTATCTTAATAAGTGTCCTACTATAATTTTTTTAGTTAAATAAAAGTAGAAAAACTATTAAACCTAGCACTAATTTTTAACCTGATAAAATTAACAATAAATATTCTAATACGTTCAAACAAATTTATTGCCTAGAAAATTATACTGTAAGTAAAAAATATTTAACATTTAGTACATTTACAGTATAGATTTATTGACTACGGGGATTAATGCCCCTCACTTTAACTTAATACTTTTAACTGTTAACTACCAGTAACAGCATCAATACAATTTAACTTGTTCATGTTCCACTACAAACAGTGCATATGAATCTAACAACTGAAATTACTGATAATACAGAACATTTAATTATTAAAAACGAAATTTCTCATTCTCACAACCTTGACATTTTAAAGAAATATGTATGAACATATGACACAGCCAACTCTGTGTACTGCTTGAGACAAAGATCACACACATTTAATATTGTGACACCTAAAAAAGCACATGATCTTACTATAATGGACATAGCGTGTGTATATGTATCTATGTAAGTGACTGAAATAATAAATACAATGTGGTGCCATCTACTGAATGACACCACAAACAAAAATCCATATAAATATTTCCCACTTTGGATATTCAAGGTTCAGACAATTAGAAAAACAACTACAATAAGTGCAACAACCATTTCTTTATAACAGAACACAATTTTAAACAAAAGTTCTCTCCTCATAACAAGAAAACAACCTTTACTAGGACTATATGCAAATGTTTGATTATATCTTTATTGATGTAATTTATAAATATTGTACTAAAAAAATTGAGTTCTTGAAAAAACTTATTTTTTCAATAATGGATCCCACTTTTAATGTATAAAAACATCACAGTATATCAGCACAATCTGAACATTTTTCCCATGCAGTATTTCCCAGAAAAATCCTTTTTAAGAAAATGTTCACTTTTCCAAATTTTTTTTTTCAGTGAGGTATGAATACTATGATTAGTAATAACTAGCACAAACAGCTGCCTTTAGGGCAGTATTTCTGCTGGTTAGTTTAAATCTAGTCCTTAATCATAAATGACTGAAGCATCTATAGTAGCATTATTATATAGTGAAGAGCTTGACCATATATTTTATAATTAATTCTCATGCTGAAAGTAAAATAACATTTTTCTATACATCTTTTTAGTAATACAAGTTACCTGTAGCAACAGATTGAATTTTTATTAATCTATTTATGTCATATAACAACCAAGAATTTGTTACATTTCTTAATCAGCTACAAGCCCTTTCTAAATGTTATCCTAGTCAATTAACACCAGATATTACATCAAATGTCTTTCTGCATAACTTTTTCTCACAAATTAAAACATGTTTATTTCTTCTTTTTTTTTCAATTCATACAAATACTGTGAAGGTTTCTTTGCTTATCAGTTGTATGCTGCACTTATGCTGTATTACTCTATTATCAATATCATTATCTGGACAAGCCAATCCACCAAATATGAACTGGTTTTCAAACTTTCAATTGATTTAAATCACCCCCAAAAACAATGTTACTTTCTTTGAGGTTTTATGTTTCTTCATGATCATTAACAAGTACTAGGTATGCACATAAAGAGGGTAAACACTAGCCCTACAACAGGTATTACATAAGAAAAACATATAAAAGTTTATACAAGTTACAGCAAGCAGTAACATGGGTAGCTTGAAGACAGCTGAATTAACTTTGATTTTTCTTACTAACATGGGCATCATTAAAAAAACAAAACAAAAAAGACATAAACACAAAATAAGTCATTCAAATGTTTCCAATCAGATATTTTAATTATGTAAATTTCTTGTCCTATAAAGTAAAACATAGCTGGTTTTGTTGTAATCTGACTATACCATCATGTAAACACACTTTAAATTTACTAATTTCCAAAAAGCATGCTACACTCAAACAAGAACTGACTTGTTTAATGCTGAGAAATAATTTTCTAACAGTTAAGTATATTATAATAGCTCTATTTCAACATGGATTGACATTTCTAAAAATCAGAGTTTGTAATGCATCAACTGGCAAAAATGTGTCAACTATCATATGTGCATTGCTTTCACAGTTTCTTGCTGGATTACCAGAAGGTAACAGATTTAATAAAAGATGTTATTAACAGCAGCAATATAAAATCTACTTGCATTCTTCAACTAAAATTTCTTTGGAAGTTTCAAACTAAACCATGTTTATGAAAGTACACTTTTATTCCCACTTCAACAACTACATACAGAAGATACAAATATGACAACTGTTCAATTCAGATAGTCCTAACCATAAGAATTACCAGAAAAAATAGAAAATGCTATAACAGAAATGTTGCAAGTTCCCTATGTAGGTTAGACTTACATTAAATCAGTAGAATTTACATCAGTAACACATTTTCTCATTTTGAACAAAACCAAAATTATCTACACTCCACTGTATAATTTATAAGTATTTTCAGTCTACATAGAAATTCACAATACTACTTATATATATATATATATATCTATATTTTTTAACTTTTCTCATAATTTTTGACAAAAACCCTTGAAATTGTGCAGGTAGGAAAGAGCTGTGAAGGTGAAAGAGGCCCAAAAGTATGGGGTAGAGCCAAGGGGCTTTTTCTTCTTGGATTTCGTGCAAAGCTACAAAAGAGCTATCTGCATTAACCTTCCCTATTTTTGAAGTAATAGACTAGATAGAAGGCAGCTAGTCAATACCATCCCCCAACAACTCTTTGGCTACTTTTGTCAAAGTAAATAGTGGGATTTGACCATCACTCTTATAATGCACTCATAAACCCACCCAAAGTATGGATGCCTTATATATTATTTTTTTTTCGCCAGTAATGTGATGTGAATCACTGGCCTGCACTCTGTCCAGGGGCTTTTTAAGCTCTCAGGTTTGACTAATCTGATTTACTTAAAAAAATTAGTACTAACATGTAAGTTGGCTGTTTAAAACAATAATCTAAAAAAAAAAATGTTTGAATTTTTGAAACTTGAGCTCCTACTTGGGTTAAAAGAGGTTTGGGGAGGGCTCTTGGGACTAGATCTATGAATTTGCATGAGCATGGACATATAAGAGATTGTTTAAAATAAGTATACGTGTTTATATTTTCGAAATTGTTATTCTGGGTGACAACAAGAAAATATGTGGCTGCAGATTTATCTGAAAACTGCATCAAGGTATTTCTGGCATGTAGACAAACTAGAGATTCAACTTTAACAGACTGGTCCTGCCTGTTCCAATATAATGGAAAATTAACAAAAACATGTAAATGGTCATTCAAAACTTTTTAAACAATTGTTATTTCTGAGAATTTTTCATCATGCAAGAATGAAACATAAAATCAATTATACAAATGAAAAACAATACAATGTAGGATGTCAGAGTACTGTTTGTTTGTTTTTTTGCATGAATTTTTTCTGTCTTGTCCACATTTTACATGACATAATTTAGTATAATACAGTATAACTTAACCTAGACTTAAACTTAGCTAAGACTTAACATACTAATCCAGAAACTAGAGTTTTAAAAGAAACAAGTGCAGTTAAAAATGTACTTTTTTTCCAATACCAGACTTCAGGGTTAAAATGAAATTTTTCCAACACAATGTCTGTTGAAATAATAATTGCCAGTATAAAAGGGTATTTTACATTCCAACTTGTATACCTTATGTATGCATGTTAATCTACAAATTTTCTGGCTTTAAATAGCATATACTTACTAACTTCATAATAATCACTCTTTTCATTACAAACCTTTAAATCTTTGTCTTTTATGTAGTTTTAAAGTACATGAAGAGGCCAAAAGAAATAGATACTGATGAAGAAATAACCTGGTTTGATATCTACTTTATATTCTTAACTACTCAATAATCACTTTCTCGGCAACAGTATCTTTAATCATTTAAAAACTTGCAGCATGCCTATTGATTTCTTGTTTCCAATAGTAAATAAATTATCATTAATTAATGGGTTTATTAGGAATTTGCTTTGTGGTATATTATACTTGCTTTTGAGATATAGCAAAAAAAACAATTCTTAGTATCAATATCAACCCAATTAGTGATGAATGGCTAATATATGAAGAAACAAGAAGTAGTTTTGCATCAAAGAATTTAATCACACACTAATGGTAACAAAAACTGTTAATAATCTCACTTCTTATACTTTCAAAAATATTGGTCAATTTCTTCCTTACAGTTTGTCACTTAGGTGGTGATTTTAGTAATACAGCTGCAGATAAACTGATCAAGAGCTGATGAAACTTGGATAGAAAGAATCCAGAGAAAGAGCAATGGATAAATCTATCAGTAACAAAAATACCAGAAGTATTCCTTACTTGCAAAAAAAGAAGAAAAAAGGGAAAAACCAAATTACCCAATGTTCATCTGCTTATTCCAGATAGGGGTAAATTAGTTATTACGTAGACCATTCTGTACAATAAAATATTATATTTCTGAACAAGCTAAGTATCTTTTTCAAGAATGTTCACCAAAGATCAGGTATCTTGCTACTGCTGGGACTGTAGAAGCCTTTCAACTGCAGCATTGACATCACCAAAAGTAGCAATTAAAGCTAATTCAAAAAGAAAAACATTTGATATCGTTGAAATATTTAAAATTAAAACACAAATATTTTGAAATTGGTTATAGAACTATAGTATAAGTTGTACCTAGAATACTTTTAATCACTGATAACATTTATGCTACTGATATATTTCTTGTAAGTATGTGAAAAACATAATACACATAATTTATGACTATTAAACATTCCCTTTATGTATCATTCTTGAAATATATATATGCTCAGCTTTACTTTCTATGACTGACAGCTAACCTTTTGTGATACTTTTTAAATGGATATTTGTATAGAATTATTAATAAATCTACAAAGCAATTTCAATAAAAAATTGTTTCATATCAAAGTATTATCTGAGTGAGTCCATCATTTCAAGACTCAGGATTAGCTTATATGATGAGAATGGCAAGGATCAAAGAAAGGGTTATGAACACACTTGGTAAAACCCAAAATTTTTTCAGAAAGCCTAAAGCACACTTATATATGCCATAATTCAAAAGTTGAAATAAGTTTATAATTAGAGAAAAAGTTGTACTGCAGGTTTTGCTCAGCTTCAGTTTAACAATTACAAGAACCTCTCTGTAATAACTTCCCTCATATTATTTAAATGTTGAACAAACTAAGAAATTAATAATATAAATAATAGTTATTACTATATGTAAGATAGCAGCAACAATAGGTTAAAAAGAAGTTTCATTTAATAGTGTACAGTCTATCCACAGATATGGAGGACTCAGAGCAAAAAGGCATTACATGACACACAGACATGAAGGTTGAAAAAATTTATTTAAACATTTCTTTTCTAAATTTAGAAAGAAATCAACATTTATACATTCAAATATAAATCATAAACAACAATTTGATGATAAATTTATTTACATATATTGATAATAAATTTTTAACGTAACTCTGTAAAAGTAGTGACACACACACACACACACACCTCGACTCCCACCCATACACATACAGTTAAGCTAAAACTGCTACAATATTGATGGACTTTAATTATATAGTTACTATGAATTAAAATTTCATAGGTTTAAAGTATCTTACCTTGTAAATTTGCATCTCGGTTTACAAATCCCATGGCTGTCAGCTGTTCAAGCTGTGTTCTATATCTTTCTTCTGGGGGCAGTTGTGTCTAAAAACAGAAATGTGTGCTTGTAGATATATGCAATAACAGAAACAATTATGAAAACAAAAGAACAATACATATGCGGGAATTACAAACAAAAAGTATTAATAATTAGATGGTAATTTTAATGGTACAAAATATTGTAACAAAAAATATGAAAGAAAATGAAATGCACTGTAAAGTGAACTGGTATTTTACATGTAAATCCCTTGTCTTACAAAGAGTATTACATGCTGTTTCATGTTGCCATACAGTTTATCAATGTATAATTATGGGATAAGTGATAAATGTCCTACATAACTCCCCACAATTCAGACAAGATATATGGTCACTTTTTGATCTTCTCAGTTTTTAAACCCCATTACAGCCTCCTGTTCATATCAGGAGAATTTGTGTGGATCAGATATGGTTATAATTGTTCCACTGGCTTCTTTAATGCTTTGATTACGACCTACATACACTGTAAGTAAGTGTGCAGCTCTCATGAAAGTTCTTTAGAAAAATGAAACTAGTGGATGAAATTCTTTTAAATTTGAGATGAAAGGTCCTATAAGTATGTAGTTTTACAAAAATAAGATATCTAATTTTGATTTTTTCTAAAGTAATGTTTTTCTCATGCTTTTTCTTTCTTTTCGCATGTTGCCTGTTCAACATGCAAAATAATTTTCATTTTAAGATTAAAAAATACTTTTATGCATCAGAAAAATTTTAAATTTCACACACGAAATCCTTAATGTCCAGATAGTTATCAAACCTTTATTAAGAAAAAAACTTTATATTTTCAGAAACGAATAGCTGTACAGGTTTGGTCAATTTGACTGATCTTGTAACCACCATAAAAATTAGGAAATAAATATAAAGTATGTCTTTTTTGTTTT